TGCGTGGGGACATTGTCCCCAGGTCCTTGGGGACAGCTCCCAGCAGGACAGTGTCCCAGAGTCCCCAGCAGTGTCCCCAGCCCTCCAGGCCATGTCCCTGACCAGGGCACTGGCACTGGCTGCTGTCCATGGTCAGCTGCTGTCCCCAAAGCCACCTGAATGCTGAACGGTGTCACCAGGGCCACGTCCCTGAGGCTCTGGGAGCTGTCCCTGCTCAGGGCTGTCCCCAGGGCTGTCCCCAGGTATTGGGGTGCTGTCCCTGCTCAGAGCTGTCCCCAGCTCTTTGGGGACACTGTCCCCACTCAGGACCTTGTCCCTGTCCCTTTCCACGGGGGCTCTGCCCCAAGCTTTGGGGTGCTGGTCCTGCACTTTTGGGATGCTGTCCCCATTCCGGCCTTGTCCCCACCTCACTGTGACCCCTGTCCCCAAATACTGGGGTTGTGTTCCTGAGTGCTCAGATGCTGTCCCTGGGTATTGGGGTGCTGTCCCCACTCAGGGTTTTGTCCCCTGTCCTTTGGGGCCTTTTTGGGGGCCTCTGGAGCCTCGTTCCCACTGAGCTTTGTCCCCAGGTTTTTGGGGACACTGGGGCCTTGTCCCAGGGTCATCAGGGCCATGTCCCCAAATCCCTGGGGCTCTGTCCCCGGGCATTGAGGGGACATCCTGACTACTGGGGTACCTTCCCTGGATATTGGGGTGCTGTCCCCAATCTGGGCTTTGTCCCCATTCTTGGGGGCTCACCCTGGGGTCACAAGGGTCCATCCCCACACCTTTGGGCCACTGTCCCCTCTCTGAGCCTCGTCCCTGCCCAGCAGAGCCATGTCCCCACCCCTGTGGGCTGCTGTCCCCATGTTTCTGAGGTGCTCTCCTCAATCTGGGCTCTGTCCTCCCTCATTCTTTGGGGCTCTTCCCCAGCTCACCCCTGATCCATGAGGGTCCATCCCTGCACCTTGGGGACACCATTCTTGCTCTGAGCCTTGTCCCTGTTCACCAGGGCCATGTCCCCAGCTCTGAGCCTTGTCCCTGCCATGTCCCCAGCCCTGTGGGCTGCTGTCCCCACATCTTTGGGGTGCTCTCCCCAATCTGGGCTCTGTCCCCCATTCTTGGGGGCTCTTCCCCACCTCACCCCACAACCACGAGGTTCCATCCCCACACCCCCTGCTCTGATCCTTGTCCCTTTCCATCAGGGCCATGTCCCCTGCTCTGAGCCTTGTCCCTGCCATGTCCCCAGCCCTGTGGGCTGCTGTCCCCACATCTTTGGGGCGCTCTCCCCAATCTGGGCTTTGTCCCCCGTTCTTTGGGACTCTTCCGCGGATCCACGAGGTTCCATCCCCACACCCCCTGCTCTGATCCTCGCCCCCATCTCCCCGCGTGTCCCCCCAGCCGCCCCGAGGGGTCCCGGCCGCGGTGTCCCCGTGTCCCGCCGCGTCCCCCCGCGGCTCTCACCGGCAGCTTGGTGAGGGGCGCGTTGCTGACGTGCTTGCCGAACACCTCCTCCTGGAACTGCAGCAGCTGCACCACCAGGCTCGACAGCGATTTGTTGGTGGGGGGCTCGGCCTGGATGTACTGCGGGGCCGGGGGCTCAGCGCGGCCGCCGCGGCCGCTGAGGGGAGGGGGGGGCGCGATGGCGGCGGCGGCGCCGTGACAGGCCGGGCCCGGCGTGGCGGCGGCGGGCGGGCGGCGGCGCCGCGTTTCCGCGGACTTACCTTCTTGTAGTTCTTGCCGAGCCACAGCCGCACGTTGTCGAACTGGCTGACGGTGTCCGAGGCCTCGTAGTACTTGACGTTAGGGCCGCCGTCCTTCTTCCGCACCGCCATCTTGAGCGGGCCGGGCCGCGCCGCCGCCTCCGCCCGCCACTGCCGCCCCCTGCCGGCCCCGCGCCGCCACTGCCGCGCCCGCCGCCGCCTCCGGTCGCTGTCCCCGTTCCCGCTGTCCCCGATCCCGCTGTCCCCGTTGTCCCCGCTCCCGGTCGCTGTCCCCGCCGCTCGCACCGGCCCCGCTCGCTGTTACAGCCCCGCCGCCCCCTTTGGTGCCCTCCCGTTCCCGCACTGCCGCTCCCGCCGCCGCCGCTGCCGCCCTCTGGCGGTGCCGCTCCCGCACCGCCGCCTCCGCCGCTCCCGCCCGGTTTTACCGGTCCCGGTCGCTGTTCCCGCTCCCACCCGGTGTTACCGGCCCCGGTCCATGTTCCGCCTCCCGCACCGCCACCCCCGATCGTTGTTCACGACCCCGATCGTTGTTCACGACCCCTATCGCGGTTCCCGGCCCCGTTGTACCGCCCGCCGGTCCCGCCGCGCCCGCCACCGCCTCCTGCTGGTCCCGCTCCCGCCGTTCCCGCCGACCCCGCTGTTCCCCGGGCGCTGTTCCCGGCCCCGGGCGCCGTTCCGGGCCCCGAGCCCCCGCTCCACCGCCCGTCGTTGGTCCCGCTGCCCGTTACCGGCCCCGCCGCCCGCAAGTGCGACAAGAGAGGCACGACAAGAAGAAATGGGTTCAAATCTCAAGAAATTGGGTTTAGACGGGAGATTGGGAGGAAATTCCTTCCTGGGAGGGTGGGGAATGGATTTCCCAGAGCTGCCGTGGGTGCCCCAACCCTGGAGGTGTCGCAGGCCGGGTTGGACGGGGTTTGGAGCAGCCCGGGACGGGGGAAGGCGGGGGTGGAAAGGGATGGGCACCGGAGGGAGCACCGGAACGGTACCGGGCATTGAGCAGCAAGCCGGGTACCGAGCACCGAGCACCGGGCACCAGGCATTGATCACTAGGCTGGGCACCGGGCACTGAGCACCAAACCGGGCACTGAGCACCGGACACCGGGCACTGAGCACCAAACCGGGCACCGGGCACCGGGCGGGGCGGGGCCGGGAGCGGCGGCGGGGCCGGGTCTATACGGAGCGCGGCGGACGGAGGCGCGAGAGTCACGGTGGCCGAGTGGTTAAGGCGTTGGACTCGAAATCCAATGGGGTTTCCCCGCACAGGTTCGAATCCTGTCCGTGACGCCACGCTCACTTTTGCTGGTGGGGGACGCGCGTGGGAGCTCCCCCGGTAACGGCGAGCACACGGTGCTCCCTCCGGTACCGGCTCTTTTAACAGCGGGGATGACACAGTCTCAGCCTCCGGTACCGGATCTTTTAACGGCGGGAACAGCGGGGAAGACACAGCCTCAGCCTCCGGTACCGGATCTTTTAACGGTGGGGACATCACGGAGCCTCCCGCCCGCCGGTAGCGGCTCCTTTAACGGCAGGAACAGCGGGGAAGACACGGCCTGAGCCTCCGGTACCGGCTCCTTTAACGGCAGGAACATCACGGATTCCCCAAGCCCCGGTACCGGCTCTTTTAGGGGCGGGAAGAGTGGGGAAGACACAGCCTCAGCCTCCGGTACCGGTACCCTTTTAACGGGGGTAACCATTGGGATCCTCGCTCGGTTACCGGCTCTTAACGGCGGCAGAGCACGCGCTCTGCCTCCGGTACCGGCTCCTTTAACGGCGGGAGGATCGGAGAGTCCCCAAGCCCCGGTACCGGCTCTTTTAGGGTTGGGAATAATGGGGAACCCCCTCTAATGCAGACTCCTTTAATGGGGTGGGAGCAGCAGGGACCCCCCAGCCCCGGTACCGACGCTTTTTGGGGTGGGGACTCCCCGGTCCCAGCCCTTTTTGGGGTGAGGATGCCCCAGTCCCAACCCCATCTCTTTTTGGGGTGGGGACTCCCCAGTCCCAGCCCTTTTTGGGGTGACGATGCCCCAGTCCCAGCCCCAGCTCTTTTAGGGGTAGGGACCCCCCCAATCCCAGCTCTTTTTGGAGTGGGGACCCTCAGCCCCAGCTCTTTTTAGGGTGGGAACCCCCCTTTATGACCTTTTTAAGGGCAGAAGTGGGAACTCCACTCTGGGTCCTGCTCTTTTAGGGGTGGGGACCCCCCCATTCCCAGCTCTTTTAGGGGTAGGGACCCCCCAGTCCCAATCCCAGCTCATTTAGGGGTAGGGACCCCCCATTCCCAGCTCTTTTAGGGGTGGGGACCCCCCATTCCCAGCTCTTTTAAGGGTAGGGACCCCTCAAATCCCAGCCCTTTTAGGGGTAGGGACCCCCCATTCCCAGCTGGTTTTGGAGTAGGGACCCCCCATTCCCAGCTCTTTTTGGGGTGGGGACCCCCCATTCCCATTCCCAGCTCTTTTTGGGTGGAGACCCCCCATTCCCATTCCCAGCTCTTTTTGGGGTGGGGACCCCCCATTCCCATTCCCAGCTCTTTTTGGGGTAGGGACCCCTCAAATCCCAGCTCTTTTTGGGGTAGGGACCCCTCAATCCCAGCCCTTTTAGGGGTAGGGACCCCCCATTCCCAGCTCATTTAGGGGTAGGGGACCCCTCAATCCCAGCTCTTTTTGGGGTAGGGACTCCCCATTCCCAACTCTTTTAGGGGTGGGGACCCCTCAATCCCAGCTCTTTTTGGGGTGGGGACCCCTCAATCCCAGCTCTTTTTGGGGTGGGGACCCCCCATTCCCATTCCCAGCTGGTTTTGGGGTGGTGACCCCCCATTCCCGGCTCTTTTAGGGGTAGGGACCCCCCATTCCCATCTCTTTTTGGGGTGGGGACCCCCCATTCCCAGCTCTTTTTGGGGTAGGGACCCCCCATTCCCATTCCCAGCTGGTTTTGGGGTAGGGACCCCTCAATCCCAGCTCATTTAGGGGTGAGGACCCCCCTGTCCCAGCTCCTTTTGGGGTGGGAACAGTGGGGACCCCCCTTTTATGATCTTTTTTAGGGAACCCCACTCTGGGCCCTCTCTCTCAAGGGGGGGCAGGTTCGTCCTTTTTGGGGAGCACATTTGGGGGGGCTCCAGGGCAGGGGGAACCCCCCAGGACCCTCAGCCACCCCCGTTCCCTCTCAGTAGTGACATTTATTAATCCCCAAATCCCCCCAGGATGGGGAGAACAGCCCCAAACCCACCCATTTTTACCCCAAAACTGAGCCCCCTCTGACACGGGGAGGGTTTTGGGGTGCAGGAGGAGGCCCCCAAAACGGGGATAAAGCAACCAGAATTCTGTTTATTGATCACTTCAATCCCTGCCTCCTGCCGGATCTGCCGGGAGGAGAAACAATGGTAAAAAAAAAAAAATTGAAATAAATGCAAATAAATTAAATTAAATTCCCAACGAGTCCCACGGACCCAGGCCAGAGGTGCCTGCCCACGGTTACTTGGAGAATCAAATAAAAAGGGAGAGTAAAAATAAGAAAAGGTCAAAAAAAAAAGAAAAAAAAAAAGAAAAAAGAATGAAGTACAAAAAAAAAAAAAAAAAATTAAAAATACAGAACCACAATCACGAATGTCTGGAAAAAATAACACCAAGGGTGGAGAGAGCAGAGGCAAACATGGATTGGGAGGAGGTGGGAGATGCTCCCGGGGTCAGGGGATGGGGCATGCACGAAAAGAAGGGGACAGGAGGGGTCCCCAGGGCCGAGGAGCCCCCACTGCAGGGCTGGGGACACCGGGAGCGCCCTTTGGGGACACCTGGCCAGGTGGAAACTGCAGAGAGGAGATGGAGCTTGAGGGGTCTGGGGCACCCCCGAGGGGTCTGGAGCCCCCTCTTGGAACAGGGTGAGCTGAGCTGGGTTTGGAACGGGTCCAATCCAGAAGGGAACCCCAAAAATCTGAGTCCAGGGAACCCCAAAAATCTGAGTCCAGGGAACCCCAAAAAATCTGAGTCCAGGGAACACCAAAATTCCGAGCCCAGGGAACACCAAAAATCCGAGTCCAGAGAACCCCAAAAATCCGAATCCAGAGAACCCCAAAAAATCCGAGTCCAGGGAACCCCAAAATTCCGAGTCCAGGGAACTCCAAAATTCCGAGTCCAGGGAACACCAAAAAATCCGAGTCCAGGGAATCCCAAAAATTCAGAGTCCAGGGAACTCCAAAATTCCGAGTCCAGGGAACCCAAAAAATCTGAGTCCAGGGAATCCCAAAAATTCAGAGTCCAGGGAACCCCAAAATTCCGAGCCCAGGAAACCCCAAAAAATCCGAATCCAGGGAACACCAAATTCCGAGTCCAGGGAACCCCAAAATTCCAAGTCCAGGGAACCCCAAAATTCTGAGTCCAGAGAACCCCAAAAATCTGAGTCCAGGGAACCCCAAAAAATCTGAGTCCAGGGAACCCAAAATTCCGAGTCCAGAGAACCCCAAAAAATCCGAATCCAGGGAGCCCCAAAAATCCGAGTCCAGAGAACCCCAAAAAATCCAAATCCAGGGAACCCAAAAATTCCGAGCCCAGGCAACCCCAAAAAATCCGAATCCAGGGAACACCAAAATTTCGAGTCCAGGGAACCCCAAAAATCCGAGTCCAGAGAACCCCAAAATTCCAAATCCAGGGAACACCAAAAAATCCCAAGTCCAGGGAACCCCAAAAAATCCGAGTCCAGGGAACCCCAAAAATCCGAATCCAGGGAACACCAAAAAATCCCAAGTCCAGGGAACCCCAAAAAATCCGAGTCCAGGGAACCCCAAAAATCCGAGTCCAGGGAACACCAAAATTCCGAATTCAGGGAACCCCAAAATTCCAAGTCCAGGGAAGCCCCGCTGTCCTGAGTCGGATTTTTTCAGATCTCCAGATTTTCAAGCTGTGAGGGAAAATCACAAACCCTAAAAACCAAAGTTCAAGGAGCCCCCACCATCCTGAGGTGGTGGAACCGTTGATTTTTTTTTTTTTTTTTCCAGATCTTCTCATCATGAGCAAAAATCACAACCCCAAAAACCCAAATCCAGGGAACCCCCATTGTCCCTGAGTGGATTTTTTTGGATCTCTAAGTCATGAAGAAAAATCACAACCCCAAAATCCCAACTCCAGGAAACCCCTGCCATGCTGAGATGGATTTTTCTCAGATGTCTTCCACTCTGTGAGAAAAAATCACAACCCCAAAATGCCAAGTCCAGGGAACCCCCACTGTCCCGAGTCGGATTTTTTTGGATCTCTACGTCCTGACCAAAAATCACAACCCCAAAATCCCAACTACAGGAAACCCCTGCCATCCCAAGTCGGAATTTTTGGATCTCTATGTCATGACCAAAAATCACAACCCCAAAATGCCAACTCCAGGGAACCCCCGCCATTCCAAGGTGGATTTTTCTCAGATTTCCATGTCATGACCAAAAATCACAACCCCAAAATCCCAACTCCAGAAAACCCCCGCCGTCCGTAGGTGGATTTCTCTCAGATCTCCATGCCATGAGTGACAATCATGAAAACCCTAGAAGTCCAAGTCCAGGGAACCCCCATTGTCCCGAGTCGGATTTTTTTGGATCTCTACGTCATGACCAAAAATCACAACCCCAAAATCCCAACTCCAGAAAACCCTAGGTGATTTTTTCTCCTATCTCCTCCATACCACGAACAAAAAACCCAACTCCACAACACCCCCATTGTCCCAAGCTGGATTTTCCCCCACATCTCCTCCACCAACCCCCTCCTCTCCACCCTTAGGCCAACTCCTCTCATATCTCCTCCACTCCGTGAGCGAAAATCATGACGAGCCCCGGCTCCAGCACCATGTCCTCTCCCATGTGCTGGTTCTCGCAGGCCATCACCACCACGGCCTGCTTGCCGGGGATGCGTTTGGCCACGTAGTTCTCGTAGTATCTGCGGTTCATCTGCCTGGTCTCCAGCGTGGCCAGCCCCTGGGGCCAGTTGCGCTCGTGGGCGTTCTCGATGAGCTCGTTGGTGATGGAGGCCGGGCAGCCGCTCTCCACCAGCGAGCGCTTGATGACGGCCTGAAGGACGGCGTCGGGCGTGGAGATCATGCCGCCCCAGCGCGTCACCCGCGCCGGCTGCAGGGAGTTCACCCACCTGGGGGGGCATAATGGGGTCAGGGATGGGGGTTTGGGGTGGATTTGTAGGGGTTCACCCAGCTGGAGGGACACAAAGGGGTCAGGGATGGGGGTTTGGGGTGGGACTGTGGGGGTTCACCCACATGGGAGGACATAATGGGGTCAGGGATGGGGGTTTGGGGTGGGACTGTGGGGGTTCACCCACATGGGAGGACATAATGGGGTCAGGGATGGGGGTTTGGAGTGGGATTGTGGGGGTTCACCCAGCTGGGAGGGGATAACGGGGTCAGGGATGATGGATTGGGGTGGGATTGTGGGGGTTCAGCAGCTGGGAGGGGATAATGGGGTCAGGGATGGGGGATTGGGGTGGGATTGTGGGGGTTCAGCCACCTGGGGGGACACAAAGGGGTCAGGGATGGGGGATTGGGGTGGGATTGTGGGGGTTCACCCACATGGGGGGACATAATGGGGTCAGAGATGGGGGATTGGGGTGGGATTGTAGGGGTTCAGACAGCTGCGGGGACATAATGGGGTCAGGGTGGGGGATTGGGGTGGGACTGTGGGGGTTCAGCAGCTGGGAGGGGATAACGGGGTCAGGGATGGGGGTTTGGGGTGGGATTGTGGGGGTTCACCCACATGGAGGGACACAGCAGGGTCAGGGATGGGGGTTTGGGACTGTGGGGGTTCACCCAGCTGGGAGGGGATAACGGGGTCAGGACTGTGGGGGTTCACCCACATGGGGGGACACAAAGGGGTCAGGGATGGGGGATTGGGGTGGGATTGTGGGGGTTCACCCACATGGGGGGACATAATGGGGTCAGGGATGGAAGTTTGGGGTGGGATTGTGGGGGTTCAGCCAGCTCAGGACACTCAGAGGGGACAGGAATGGGGTAGGATCATGGAATTTCCCTCAAAAATCATCAAATTTCCCTCAAAAACCAGCAAATTTCCCTCAAAAACCAGCTAATTTCCCTCAAAAAACAATTAATTTCTCTCAAAAAACAATTTTCCCCAAAATCCACAAAACTCCCCCCCAAAACCTACACATTTCCCTCAAAAAATGACAAATTTCCCTCAAAAAATTAAGAATTCCTCCCCCAAAATGTACAAATTTCCCTCAAAAATCAATTAATTTCCCTCAAAAATGTACAAATTTCCCTCAAAATATCACAAATTTCCCTCAAAAATCAACTAATTTCCCTCAAAAATCAACTAATTTCCCTCAAAAATCAACTAATTTCCCTCAAAAAATGACAAATTTTCTCCCAAAACCTACAAATTTCCCTCAAAAATTGATGAATTTCCCTCAAAAATCAATGAATTTCCTTCAAAATATGACAAATTTCCCTCAGAAAATGACAAATTTTCTCCCGAAACCTACAAATTCCCCTCAAAAACTACAGACTTCCCTCAAAAAATGACCAATTCCCCTCGAAAAACTACAAATTTCCCTCAAAAATCAACGAGTTTCCCTCAAAAATGAACAAATTTCCCCCAAAAAATGAACAAATTTCTCCCCAAAACCTACAAATTTCCCTCAAAAATCAACAGATTTCCCTCAAAAATTAACAAATTTCCCCCCAAAACATACAAGTTTCCCTCAAAAACTGATTAATTTCCCTCAAAAATCAACAATTTTCCCCCAAAACCTACAAATTTCCCTCAAAAATAAACAGATTTCCCTCAAAAATTAACAAATTTCCCCCCAAAACCTACAAATTTCCCTCAAAAATCAACCGATTTCCCTCAAAAAATTAACAAATTTCCCCCAAAACCTGATTAATTTCCCTCAAAAAATTACAAATTTCCCCCCAAAACCTCCAAATTTCCCTCAAAAATCAACCGATTTCCCTCAAAAAACAACGAATTTCCCTCAAAAAAACCGAATTTCCCTCAAAAACCCCCATAACACCCCACACTCACTCCAGGATCTCGTTGTACTCGATGGTCTCCTCCAGGTTCTGCAGGTTGGGGTTGACGCTGCGGATCGCCCTCATGTAGGCCTTGAGCAGCTGGATGTCCCTTTTCTGCCAAAGTAGGGAAAAAATAGAATTTGGAATGAGAATTACCCCTTTTTTCCCCTTTTTTTTTGGTGAGGATTTTGGTGTCCAAGCACCAAAAATTTTCCTTTTTTTTTTTTTCCCTCGTTTTTTGGTGCCTAACAACCCAAACCGGCCCCTTGTTTTTTTCCCTTTTTTTTAATCTTACAAAGATAATAAATACAAATGTAAACATTAATAAAAGCTTTGAATGAAGACGTCAAAACAGACAAAACTCATTAGAACAATAAATAATGACTACTACCAGATTTAACTTATATCCTTTAAATAAATCAGATCTTTTACAACATAAAAAAATTACTGCAGAGCCCCACTCAACCCACTGCTCCCCTCAGCACATTTTTTTGCTGGTTTTTTGGGATTTTTTTTTGGATTTTGGGATTTCTGGAGTCCCTGGTGTGGCCCAACCAACCCCTGAAGAGCCACACTCAAAGCACACCTCTCCAAAGCCTTTTTTGGGGGATTTTTTTGGGATTTTGGGATTCCTGGAGCCTCCAGCATGGCCTAGCCCAATCCCACAGAGCCACACTCAACTCACATCTCCCTACTGCCTTTTTTTCCACTTTTATTTTTAATTTTAGTGTCCAAACCTCCCAACCTTCCCCTTCCCAGCCCAATCCCACAGAGCCACACTCAACTCACACTTCCCCACAGCCTTTTTTGGGGGATTTTTTTGGGATTTTGGGATTCCTGGAGCCCCCGGCATGGCCTAGCCCAATCCCACAGAGCCACACTCAACTCACATCTCCCCACAGCCTTTTTTGGGGGATTTTTTTGAGATTTTTTTGGGATTTCTGGAATCCCTGATGTGGCCCAACCAACCCCTGCAGAGCCACACTCAACCCACACCTCCCCAAAGCCTTTTTTGGGGGATTTTTTTGGGATTTTGGGATGCCTGGAGCCTCCAGCATGGCCTAGCCCAATCCCACAGAGCCACACTCAACTCACATCTCCCACAGCCTTTTTTCCCCTTTTATTTTTAATTTTAACCTCCCAACCTTCCCCTTCCCAGCCCAATCCCACAGAGCCACACTCAACTCACACTTCCCCAAAGCCTTTTTTTGGGGGATTTTTTGGGGATTTTGGGATTCCTGGAGCCTCCAGCATGGCCTAGCCCAATCCCACAGAGCCACACTCAACTCACATCTCCCACAGCCTTTTTTGGGGGATTTTTTTGAGATTTTTTTGGGATTTCTGGAATCCCTGATGTGGCCCAACCAACCCCTGCAGAGCCACACTCAACTCACACCTCCCCAAAGCCTTTTTGGGGGGATTTTTTTTGGATTTTGGGATTCCTGGAGCCTCCAGCATGGCCTAGCCCAATCCCACAGAGCCACACTCAACTCGCATCTCCCTACTGCCTTTTTTTCCACTTTTATTTTTAATTTTAGTGTCCAAACCTCCCAACCTTCCCCTTCCCAGCCCAATCCCACAGAGCCACACTCAACTCACACTTCCCCACAGCCTTTTTTGGGGGATTTTTTTGGGATTTTGGGATTCCTGGAGCCTCCAGCATGGCCTAGCCCAATCCCACAGAGCCACACTCAACTCACATCTCCCCACAGCCTTTTTTGGGGGATTTTTTTGAGATTTTTTTGGGATTTCTGGAATCCCTGATGTGGCCCAACCAACCCCTGCAGAGCCACACTCAACTCACACTTCCCCACAGCCTTTTTGGGGGGATTTTTTTGGGATTTTGGGATTCCTGGAGCCCCCGGCATGGCCTAGCCCAATCCCACAGAGCCACACTCAACTCACATCTCCCACAGCCTTTTTTCCCCTTTTATTTTTAATTTTAACCTCCCAACCTTCCCCTTCCCAGCCCAATCCCACAGAGCCGCACTCAACTCACATCTCCCCACAGCCTTTTTTGGGGGAGATTTAGGGATTTTTTTGAGATTTTTTGGTGATTTTGTGATTTCTAGAGCCCCTAGCATGGCCTAGCCCAATCCCACTCAGCCCACACCTTCCCCCAACCATTTTTCCTCCTTTTTTTTTTAGGATTTCAGTTCCCAACACCCCAAACCTGCCCTTGCAGGTGCTGCTGCCCACCTGCTCTGCCAGCTGGTGCTTGTGCTCGGCCGAGGTTTTCTCCAGCTCTGCAATCCTCGTCTGCTGCTGCTGCACCACCGAGCGCAGGTGCTTGATGCAGTTGTGGTTGGGCAGCTCGTCCTTGGGCATCTCCAACCTGCCAGCAGAGGGGAAAAAAGGTGGAGGCACCAATTTAGGGGAATTTACAGCTCCCAGAGGTAACTCAGGTGTGGAAAGGCTCTGAGTGTCAGGCTGGAGGAGGGTTTGGGGGATAAATGGGGTTTTTTCTGCTTTGCTGCCTTCCTGAGGAGTTCTCAAGCCTGGCAGCTCTTTCCAGGAGGAAATTCCTGCTGAGCTCCAACCTGAACCTCTCCTGGAGGTGTCCCATCCCAGGGCCCTGCCTGTGTCCATCCCAGGGTCCATCCTGTGCCCATTCCATGACCGTCGTTGTGCCCATCCCCATGCCAATGTCCATCCCAGGGCCATTCCTGTGGCCATTCCATGGCAACCCTGGGTCCATCCCAGTGCCCATCCTATGTCCATCCCCATGCCAATGTCCATCCCAGGGCCATTCCTGTGGCCATTCCATGGCCATGCCAATGTCCATCCCAGTGCCCATCCTATGTCCATCCCCATGCCAATGTCCATCCCAGGGCCATTCCTGTGTCCATCCCATGGCCATCCCAGGGTCCATCCTGTGCCCATTCCATGACCGTCCTGTGTCCATCCCCATGCCAATGTCCATCCCAGTGCCCACCCCATGTCCATCCCAAAGCCATTCCTGTGCCCATCCGACGTCCATCCCCATCCCACGACCATCCCCATTCCATGACCATCCCATGTCCAACCTGTCCAACCTGTGTCCATCCCAGTGCCCATTCCTGTGCCTATCCCAGGGCCATTCCATGTCCATCCTCATCCCATGTCCATCCCAGTGCTCATCCCGTGTCCATCCCCATCCTGTGTCCATCCCATGTCCATCCCCATCCCATGACCAACCTGTGTCCATCCCAGTGCCCATTCCTGTGCCTATCCCAGGGCTATTCCATGTCCATCCTCATCCCATGTTCATCCCAGTGCTCATCCCCATCCTGTGTCCATCCTATGCCCATACTGTGACCATCCCAGTGCCCACCCCATGTCCATCCCCATCCTGTGTCCGTCCCATGCCCATACTGTGACCATCCCAGTGACCATCCTGTGTCCATCCCCACCCCATGTCCATTCCAGTGCCCATCTTGTGTCCATCCCCATCCTGTGTCCATCCCATGTCTATACTGTGACCATCCCAGTGACCATCCTGTGTCCATCCCCATCCTGTGTCCATCCCATGCCCATACTGTGACCATCCCAGTGTCCATCCCCATCCCATCCCCACCTCATGTCGATCCCAGTGACCACCCCATGTCCATCCCCATCCTGTGTCCGTCCCATGCCCATACTGTGACCATCCCAGTGCCCATCCCCATCCTGTGTCCATCCCATGTCCATACTGTGACCATCCCAGTGCCCATCCCATGTCCATCCCCATCCTGTGTCCATCCCAGTGCCCACCCCATGTCCATCCCCATCCCATCCCCACCCGGTGTCCATCCCAGTTCCCATCCCGTCTCCATCCCCATCCCATCCCCACCCCGTGTCCATCCCAGTGTCCATCCCCATCCTGTGTCCATCCCATGTCCATACTGTGACCATCCCAGTGCCCATCCCATGTCCATCCCCATCCTGTGTCCATCCCAGTGCCCACCCCATGTCCATCCCCATCCCATCCCCACCCGGTGTCCATCCCAGTTCCCATCCCGTCTCCATCCCCATCCCATCCCCACCCCGTGTCCATCCCAGTGTCCATCCCCATCCTGTGTCCATCCCATGCCCATACTGTGACCATCCTGTGTCCATCCCCACCCCGTGCCCATCCCAGTGTCCACCCCATGCCCATCCCCATCCCGTGCCCACCCTGTGTCCATCCCCATCCTGTGTCCATCCCAGTGCCCACCCCGTGTCCATCCCAGTGCCCATCCCGTGTCCATCCCCATCCCATCCCCACCCCATGCCCATCCCCACCCGGTGCCCGCGCTCACCCGCATCCCTGCTCGCAGGTGACGGGGCGCTTGGGGTTGTGCTCGCAGTCGTTGAGGTGAGCCATGAGGTTGTCGAGGCGCACCACGGCCGTGCAGCCGAAGACGGCGTTGTCGCAGGTGATCTGCAGCTTGGAGAGCATGTTCCGCATGATCCGCGGCACCGGGCGCAGGTGGGCCACCGTCACCACGCTGCGGTCCACGGGGCACGTCTGCTGCTGCGAGAACCACTGCGTGATGCAGGCATTGCAGAAGGCGTGCTCGCAGTGCGGGGCCTGCGGGGAACGGCGAGGGTCACGCGGGATGGGGTGGAGAAACCTCCCAGGGCACCGAGGACAAGGTGGGCTCGGTCTCCAGGAGAGCCCTGAGTGCCACCTCTGCTGGTTCAGTCATGGCATTGATCACGGGATCACTCATGGGATTGATCATGGGATCATTCATGGAATGGTTGGGTTGGGGAAACCTCCCAGGGCACCGAGGCCAAGGTGGGCTCAGTCTCCAGGAGAGCCCTGAGTGCCACCTCTGCTCCTTCAGTCATGGGATTGATCATGGGATTGACCATGGGATCATTCATGGAATCCCTCATGGAGTCACTCATGGAGTCATGCATGGATGGAATGGTTGGGTTGGGGAAACCTCCCAGGGCACCGAGGACAAGGTGGGCTCAGTCTCCAGGAGAGCCCTGAGTGCCACCTCTGCTGGTTCAGTCATGGCATTGATCATGGGGTCATTCATGGGATTGATCATGGGATTGATCATGGAATGGTTGGGTTGGGGAAACCTCCCAGGGCATCGAGGCCAAGATGGGCTCAATCCCTAGGAGAGCCCTGAGTGCCACCTCTGCTGGTTCAGTCATGGCATTGATCATGGGATTGATCGTGGGATCACTCATGGGATTGATCGTGGGATCACTCATGGGATCATTCCATAGAATGGTTCCATGGGATCACTCATGGAATGGTTGGGTTGGGGAAACCTCCCAGGGCACCGAGGACAAGGTGGGCTCAGTCTCCAGGAGAGCCCTGAGTGCCACCTCTGCTCCTTCAGTCATGGGATTGATCAAGGGATCACTCATGGGATTGATCAAGGGATCATACATGGAATGGTTGGGTTGGGAAAACCTCCCAGGGCATCAAGGTCAAGAGGGGCTCAGTCTTCAGGAGAGCTCTGAGTGCCACCTCTGCTCGTTTAGTCATGGGATTGATCATGGAATGGTTGGGTTGGGGAAACCTCCCAGGGCATCGAGGCCAGGCTGGGACTGATCTCCAGGAGAGCTCTGAGTGCCATCTCTGCTCATTTAGTCATGGGATTGACCATGGGATCATTCATGGAATCCCTCATGGAGTCATGCATGGAATGGTTGGGTTGGGGAAATCTCCCAGGGCATCGAGGCCAAGATGGGACTGATCCCCAGGAGAGCTCTGAGTGCCACCTCTGCTCCTTCAGTCATGGCATTGATCATGGCATTGACCATGGGATCAATCATGGAACCATTCATGGAATCCCTCATGGAGTCACGCATGGAATGGTTGGGTTGGGGAAACCTCCCAGGGCATTGAGGCCAAGATGGACTCAATCTCCAGGAGAGCCCTGAGTGCCACCTCTGCTGGTTCAGTCATGGCATTGATCATGGGATCACTCATGGGATCATTCATGGGATCACTCATGGAATGGTTGGGTTGGGGAAACCTCCCAGGGCACCGAGGACAAGGTGGGCTCAGTCTCCAGGAGAGCCCTGAGTGCCACCTCTGCTGGTTCAGTCATGGCATTGATCATGGGATCACTCATGGGATTGATCATGGGATCATTCATGGGATCACTCATGGAATGGTTGGGTTGGGGAAACCTCCCAGGGCACCGAGGACAAGGTGGGCTCAGTCTCCAGGAGAGCCCTGAGTGCCACCTCTGCTCGTTTAGTCATGGGATTGATCATGGGATTGACCATGGGATTGACCATGGGATCATTCATGGAATCCCTCATGGAGTCATGCATGGAATGGTTGTGTTGGGGAAACCTCCCAGGGCACCGAGGACAAGGTGGGTTCAGTCTCCAGGAGAGCCCTGAGTGCCACCTCTGCTGGTTCAGTCATGGCATTGATCATGGGATCACTCATGGGATTGATCGTGGGATCACTCATGGGATCATTCCATAGAATGGTTGGGTTGGGGAAACCTCCCAGATTGTCAAGGCCAAGATGGACTCGATCTCCAGGAGAGCCCTGAGTGCCACCCCTGCTGGTTCAATCATGGGATTGATCACGGGATCACTCATGGGATTGATCATGGGATTGATCATGGAATGGTTGGGTTGGGGAAACCTCCCAGGGCATCGAGGGCAAGATGGGCTCAACCCCTAGGAGAGCCCTGAGTGCCACCTCTGCTCCTTCAGTCATGGCATTGATCATGGGATCACTCATGGGATCATTCCATAGAATGGTTGGGTTGGGGAAACCTCCCAGGGCATCAAGGTCAAGAGGGGCTCAATCTTCAGGAGAGCTCTGAGTGCCACCTCTGCTCGTTCAGTCATGGCATTGATCATGGGATCACTCATGGGATCAATCATGGGATCGTTCTTGGAACCATTCATGGAATCCCTCATGGAGTCATTCATGGAATGGTTGGGTTGGGGAAACCTCCCAGACTGTCAAGGCCAAGATGGACTCGGTCTCCAGGAGAGCTCTGAGTGCCACCTCTGCTCATTCAATCATGGGATTGACCATGGGATCACTCATGGGATCAATCATGGGATCAATCATGGGATCAATCATGGGATTGATCATGGGATTGACCATGGGATCGATCATGGAATCCCTCATGGAGTCATGGAGTCACGCATGGAATGGTTGGGTTGGGGAAACCTCCCAGGGCATTGAGGCCAAGATGGACTCAACCCCTACGAGAGCCCTGAGTGCCACCTCTACACCCACCATGTCCCACCCTGTCCCCAGGTGGGTCCTACCTGCACCCACCCTGTCCCCAGGTGGGTCCTACCTGCACCCACCCTGTCCCCAGGTGGGTCCTACCTGCACCCACCCTGTCCCCAGGTGGGTCCTACCTGCACCCACCCCGTCCCCAGGTGGGTCCTACCTGCACCCACCCCGTCCCCAGGTGTGTCCTACCTGCACCCACCCTGTCCCCATGTGTGTCCTACCTGCACCCACCCTGTCCCCAGGTGTGTCCTACCTGCACCCACCCTGTCCCCATGTGTGTCCTACCTGCACCCACCCTGTCCCCGGTGGGTCCTACCTGCACCCACCCCATCCCCAGGTGGGTCCTACCTGCACTGGCTCCTCCAGGACCCCACTGCAGATGGGGCAGATCAGGTCCTCGTCCACGTCCCCCTGGAACCGAGCCACATCATACCCCATCGCTCGTCACCGGCGCCAGAACCCTGTGGGGCAAAACGCGTCAGGGACACCCAGGATGGGGCAAATCCTTGGGGTTTGAGCCAAACCTGAACTTCCCTGGGGTCCCCTGGCTCAGGGATGGGGAGGAACTTGGGTTCCTTGGGGGTTTTGGGTCTTCCCAGAGCCATTCCAGCCCCTGGGATTGGGATTTGAAGGCCAAGGTCCTGCAGGAAAAGGGTTTCTGAGTCAAACCTGAATCTCCTTGGGGTCCCCTGGGTCACAGATGGGAAAGAATTTGGGTTCCTTGAGGGTTTTGGGTATTCCCAGAGCCATTCCAGCCCCTGGGATTGGGATTTGAAGGCCAAGGTCCTGCATGGAAAGGGTTTCTGAGTCAAACCTGTCTCTTCTTGGGGTCCCCTGGCTCAGGGATGGGGAGGGATTTGGGTTCCTTGGGGGTTTTGGGTATTCCCAAAGAGCCATTCCAGCCCCTGGGATTGGGATTTGAAGGCCAAGGTCCTACAGGGAAAGGATTTTTAAGTCAAATCTGTTTCTTCTGGAGCTCCTTTGGCTCCATGGGGAAGTATTTGGGTGTCTTGGGGACTGGAGCTTTTTGGGTCTTCCCAGAGCCATTCCAGCCCCTGGGATTGGGATCTACCAGGGTCTGAAGCCCAAGGTCCTACAGGAAAAGGTTGAGAAGGGTTTTGGAGTCAAACCTGTCTCTTCTTGGGGTCCCCTGGGTCAGGGATGGGAAAGAATTTGGGTCCCTTAGGACTTTTTGGGTCTTCCCAGAGCCTTTCCAGCCCCTGGGATTGGGATTTACCAGGGTTTAAACTCCAAGGTCCTACAGGAAAAGGTTGGGAAGGGTTTTCAAATCCCAATCCTGAGAACCCCAACCTTAAATCCTAACCCTGAATTTCCTATTTGTGGGTTTGATTTGGGGTTCTTGGGGTGGTTTTGGGGTGGTTTATTTGATTCGTGGAGCTGGGCACGTCAGGCTTTGGGCATGGAAACGTTTCCAGGCTGGCATTCCCAGGAAATTCCCTTCTCCAGCCCCTTCCCTTGGCATTCCCAGGAAATTCCCTTCTCCAGCCCCTTCCCAGCTCAGCTTTCCCAGGAAATTCCCTTCTCTTCAGCATTCCCAGGAAATTCCCTTCTCCAGCCCCTTCCCTTCTTCAGCATTCCCAGGAAATTCCCTTCTCCAGCCCCTTCCCAGCTCAGCATTCCCAGGAAATTCCCTTCTCCAGCCCCTTCCCTTCAGCATTCCCAGGAAATTCCCTTCTCCAGCCCCTTCCCTTCAGCATTCCCAGGAAATTCCCTTCTCCAGCCCCTTCCCAGCTCAGCTTTCCCAGGAAATTCCCTTCTCCAGCCCCTTCCCTTCTTCAGCATTCCCAGGAAATTCCCTTCTCCAGCCCCTTCCCTTCTTCAGCATTCCCAGGAAATTCCCTTCCCTTCAGCATTCCCAGGAAATTCCCTTCTCTTCAGCATTCCCAGGAAATTCCCTTCTCCAGCCCCTTCCCTTGGCATTCCCAGGAAATTCCCTTCTCCAGCCCCTTCCCAGCTCAGCATTCCCAGGAAATTCCCTTCCCTTCAGCATTCCCAGGAAATTCCCTTCTCCAGCCCCTTCCCTTCAGCATTCCCAGGAAATTCCCTTCTCCAGACCCTTCCCTTGGCATTCCCAGGAAATTCCCTTCTCTTCAGCATTCCCAGGAAATTCCCTTTTCTTCAGCATTCCCAGGAAATTCCCTTCCCCAGCCCCTTCCCCTCCTCCAGGGCCGGCCTTGAGCTCTGCCCCGGCCGTTGCCGCTCCCCGGGCCCCTCCCCGACATCAAAGGCGGTGACAAAGGCGGTGACAAAGGCCCGATAAGGAGTCCCTGGAGTCCCCACCCCAAACCCCAACGGGAGGGGCAGGGGGACACCGGGACAGGGCCCCGGGAGCTGGGAGGGGATCTGGGAATTCCAGCTGTGCAGGGCAGAAATTCCAGCTGTGCCCACCCCTGGAATTCCAGCTGTGAGGGGCCCTGGGAATTCCAGCTGTGCAGGGCAGAAATTCCAGCTGTGCTGGGCAAAAATTCCAGCTGTGAGGGGCCCTGGGGATTCCAGCTGTGCCCAGCTCAGGCCTGGCCCTGCTGCTGTTCCACATCCAGATGTGGCCTCCCAAACACATCCAGCTGTGCCAAGCTCCTGCGCCCTGTCCCTGCCCAGATGTGCCCCAGCCGAGGAGCAGAGCCGGTGACAGAGGGACAGATGTGACCCCGTGTCCCCACCGTGGCACAGGAGGGACTTTGTCCCCTCCCTGTCCCCAGAGCAGCTCCAGGTCCCTCCTTTAATCCCAAAAATCCCCTGGGAAAAGAAAACCCCACAGCCCCAGGGGCTGATAAGGAGCGGGGGCTGATAAGGAGCAGGGGCTGATAAGGAGCAACGGCTGCTCCTGGGGCCTGGAACGGCCCCAAATCCTGGAACGGCCCCAAATCCCAGCCCAGCCCTTCCCATGGGATCGGGGCAGCTGGGGAGGCTCCTCTGGAAGGCTCTGGAAAATTCCCTGAGAGAATCCCAGAAAATTCCCTGCAGGGAAAGGGTTCCCAGAAATGCAGAGACAGGAACAGCTCTGGGAACAGCTCCTCCTCCCATCCTAAAATCCTCTGGGATCTTCCCAAAAACCCAAAACCCTGGGATCTCCCCAGGCTCTTCCCAAAACTCCTCTGGGATCTTCCCAAAACCCAAAACCCTGGGATCTTCCCCAAACCCAAAACCCTGGGATCTCCCAAGGCTCGTCCCAAAACTCCTCTGGGATCTTCCCAAATATCCAAAACCCTGAGATCTCCCAAGGCTCATCCCAAAGCTCCTCTGGAATCTTCCCAAAAACCCAAAGCTCTGGGATCTTCCCAAAAACCCAAAGCTCTGGGATCTCCCCAGGCTCTTCCCAAAACTCCTCTGGGATCTTCCCAAACCCAAAACCCTGAGATCTCCCAAGGCTCTTCCCAAAACTCCTCTGGGATCTTCCCAAAACTCTGGGATCTTTCCAAAACCCAAAGCTCTGGGATTGCACCAGGCACATCCCAAAATTCCTCTGGGATCTTCCCAAAATTCCTCTGGGATCTTCCCAAAACTCCTCTGGGATCTTCCCAAAACCCCAAACCCCTCTGGGATCTCATCAGGTTCATCCCAGAACTCCTCTGGGATCTCGCCAGAAAATGGAAAAAGGAGGGATTGGAAGAATTCCCACGGGGAAAAAAAGGGAAGGATTGGAGGAATTCCTAAAAAAGGAAAAAAATTGGAAATAAAGGAAAAGGAAAAAAGGAGGGATTGGAGGAATTCCTAAAAAAGGAAAAAAATTGGAAATGGAAAAGGAAAAAAGGAGGGATTGGAGGAATTCCCATGGGAAAAAGGAAAGGAAAAGGAACAAAGGAAGGATTGGAGGAATTCCCAAAAAGGAAAAAGGAAAGAACAGGAAAAGGGAAAAGGAAAAAAGGAAGGATTGGAGGAATTCCCATGGAAAAAAAGGAAGGATTGGAGAAATTTTGAAAAAGGAAAAAGGAAAAGGAAAAAAGGGAAGGATGGGAGGAATTCCCAAAAAAAGGAAAGAACGGGAAAAGGAAAAGGGGAAGGATTGGAGGAATTCCCATGGAAAAAAAAGAAGGATTGGAGAAATTTCGAAAAAGGAAAAAGGAAAAGGAAAATAAGGGAAGGATGGGAGGAATTCCCAAAAAAAGGAAAAAGGAAAGAACAGGAAAAGGGAAAAAGGAAGGATTGGAGGAATTCCCATGGGAAAAAGGAAAGGAAAAGGAACAAAGGAAAGATTGGAGGAATTATTGGAGGAATTCCCATGGAATTGGACCTGGATTTACCTCCCTTGGTAGAATTAAAGAACAGGAAAAGGGAAAAGGAAAAAAGGAAGGATTGGAGGAATTCCCAAAAAAGGAAAAAGGAAAGAAGAGGAAAAGGGAAAAAGGAAAAGGGGAAGGATTGGAGGAATTCCCATGGGAAAAAGGAAAGGAAAAGGAACAAAGGAAGGATTGGAGGAATTCCCAAAAAAAGGAAAAAGGAAAGAAGAGGAAAAGGGAAAAGGAAAAAAGGAAGGATTGGAGGAATTCCCATGAAAATGGACCCGGATTTACCTCCTGTGGCAGAATTAAAGAACAGGAAAAAGGAAAAGGAAAAGGGGAAGGATTGGAGGAATTCCCATGGAAAAAAAGGAAGGATTGGAGAAATTTCAAAAAAGGAAAAAGGAAAAAAAGGAAGGATGGGAGGAATTCCCCAAAAAAAGGAAAGAATGGGAAAAGGAAAAGGGGAAGGATTGGAGGAATTCCCATGGGAAAAAGGAAAGGAAAAGGAACAAAGGAAGGATTGGAGGAATTCCCAAAAAGGAAAAAGGAAAGAACAGGAAAAGGGTAAAAGAAAAGGGGAAGGATTGGAGGAATTCCCATGGAAAAAAAAGGAAAGGAAAAGGAACAAAGGAAGGATTGGAGGAATTCCCAAAAAAGGAAAAAGGAAAGAAGAGGAAAAGGGAAAAAGGAAAAGGGGAAGGATTGGAGGAATTATTGGAGGAATTCCCATGAAATTGGACCCGGATTTACCTCCCTTGGCAGAATTAAAGAACAGGAAAAGGGAAAAGGAACAAAGGAAGGATTGGAGGAATTCCCAAAAAAGGAAAAAGGAAAGAAGAGGAAAAGGGAAAAAGGAAAAGGGGAAGGATTGGAGGAATTCCCATGGGAAAAAGGAAAGGAAAAGGAACAAAGGAAGGATTGGAGGAATTCCCAAAAAAAGGAAAAAGGAAAGAACAGGAAAAGGGTAAAGGAAAAGGGGAAGGATTGAAGGAATTCCCATGAAAATGGACCCAGATTTACCTCCCATGGCAGAATTAAAGAACAGGAAAAGGAAAAAGGGAAAAAGGAAGGATTGAAGGAATTATTGGAGGAATTCCCATGAAAATGGACCTGGATTAACCTCTCTTGGTAGAATTAAAGAACAGGAAAAGGGAAAAGGAAAAGGGGAAGGATTGGAGGAATTATTGGAGGAATTCCCATGGAATTGGACCTGGATTTACCTCCCGTGGCAGAATTCCTCCTGGCAGGACTCGGGGCTGCGCTGGCCTCACTCTGTGCAGGGAATTCCTCCCCAAATTCTCCCATTTTTCCCTCTCCTCTCCCGCAGGGCGTGGATCTGATCCCAAAAAAGAGAGAGAAAAAAAAAAAAACAGGAAAATCAGGAAAGGTCGATTTCCATATGGAATTCCCAACTATGGGGAGAAATTCCCTCCCCCTGTGCTGATTTCATGGGAATTTTGGGAATAATGGAACCCCCAGGCAGCCTTGGAGAGGAATCTCCAGGCTCAGAAATTTGGGAATTCCAGCCCCATTCCCTGTGGGATTCAGGCTCAGAAATTTGGGAATTCCAGCCCAGTAGAATCCAGGGATTCGGGCTCAGAAATTTCGGAATTTCAGCCCCATTCCCACTGGGATCCACACTCAGAAATTTGGGAATTATGACCCCATTCCCACTGGAACCAAAGCTCAGAAATTTGGGAATTCCAGCCCCAATTCTCAGTGGGATCAAAGCTCAGAAATCTGGGAATTTCAGCCCAAATTCCAGTGGGATCAAAGCTCAGAAATTTGGGAATTTCAGCCTAGTGGGATCCAGGAATTCACATTCAGAAATTTGGGAATTCCAGCCCTGTTCCCAGAGGGATCAAAGTTCAGAAATTTGGGAATTCCAGCCCAGCAGGATTAGAGGGATCCATACTTGGATTTTTGGGAATTCCAGCCCCCCTTTCGTGTAGATTATTCTAGATTTTCCCCCAAATTTATTTTAGATTTCCCCCCAAATTTCTATGGGTTTTCCTCAAAAAATATTTGGATTTTTCCCAAATTTCTCTGGACTTTCCCCAAATTCTTTCAGCCTGACCCCTGAATTCCTGGGGATTGTTCCCCAAACTCCTCTGAATTATTCCCCAATTTCTTCTGGGATTATTCCTCAAATTCCCCCGAATCATTCCCAAAATTCTTTCAAATAATTCCCAAAATTCCTCAAAATTATTCCCAAATTTTTTCTCGATAATTCGAAGGAATTTTTCCCAAATTCCTTCGAATTATCCCCAAAATCCCCCTGGATTTTTCCCCCAAAATTCCTCGGGATTTCCCCCAAATTCCCCCTCCGCTCTCCCTTTTCCGGACAATTCCCAACCGGAGCCGTTCCCGGTTCCCATCCCCGGTGCCTCCGTTCCGTTTCATTCCCCGGTACCGACACCACCCCGAGGCTCCTCCTCGAACCGTGACCCTCCCCGGGGGCTCTCCCGGTCTGCTCCATGGACGTTCCCCCGCTCCTCCTCCCGCGGCCTCCCCCGGTTCTCCCGGTGCTACCGGGACCGCCCCGGGGGCCTCTCCGGTGTCTCCCCCACAGCCGCACGTACCGCGGGCGGCGGGCCCGGCCCGCTCGGGGCTCAGCGGCGGCCGCGGCCTCCTCCCGGTGCCGCCGCCCGGCCCCGCCGCACCGGAAGTGCCGCGCCGGAAGTGCCGCTCTGGCCGGAACTCGGTGGTAGGGGCGGTGTGGGGTGGGCGTGGCTTATCCTCATGATCCCGCCCTCTCTGCATCGCTATTGGTTAGAAGCGCAGAGCGTCACGCTCCTTCCCGTGCTCTGATTGGCTGCGCTGCGGACTTCCGGGAGCGCCCGCGGCGGCGGCGGCGCCGTGCCCGGTGAGCGCGGCGGGAGCTGCGAGCGCCCCCTGGTGGCGGGACGGGAGCGCGGCCCCGCTCCCGCTCCCGGTCCCGGTTCTGCTCCCGGTCCCGGAGGCCCCGGAGTGCCGTCCGTGCGTAGCCCCGTTCCCGCGGTCCCGTTCCCGGTGTCCCGGTGGCCCCCGCGCTCTGGTGGTCCCGGTTCCCAGCCGGGATGCTCGCGGTGTTCCGTCCCTCTCGGTGCTGCCTTCGCGTTGCCGTTCGCGGTGTCTCGTTCTTACCGTGGCGTTCCCGGTGTCCGGTGCTGGCCGGTTCCCGGTGCTTCCATCCCCGCTGTCCGGTCCCCGGTGGTCCCGTCCCTGCGGACCCCGTGTCCAGCAGCGATGTCCCCGTGGGCCACCCCCGGGTCCCGCGGTCCCGGTGTCCCGGTCCCACATCCCCGTGTCCCGGTCCCAATGTCCCGTTCCCGGTGTCCCCCACCCGGTGTCCCGGTCCCACATCCCGGCTGTCCCATCCCGGTCCCTGCGGGACGGTCCCGGGGCTGCCACCACCGGTGTCCTCTCGGTCCCCGGAGTCCCCCATGCTCTGTCCCCGGTGTCCCCTCGGTCCCTTGTCCCCGGTGTCCCGCTCCCTCCCCCGTGTCCCGCCGGTTCCCGCTGTCCCCTCCCCATTCCCGATGTCCCCCTGGTCCCCAGTGTCACCGCTCTGGTCCCTCCAGTGCCACCCCCATCCCCGGTGTCCCCACAGTGTCCCCCTGGTCCCCAGTGTCCCCATGGGTCCCATTCTGTGTCTCCACTGTCCCCACAAGTGCCATTCACTGTCCCCTTGGTGCCACTCAGTGTCCCTGCTGTCCCTTCATTCCCCCCTGTGTCCCCTCAGTGTCCCCTCAGTGTCCCCCATGTCCCCTCAGTGTCCCCCATGTTCCCTCAGTGTCCCCTCAGTCCCCTCAGTGTCCCTGTTGTCCCCTCAGTGTCCCCCATGTCCCCTCAGTCCCCTCAGTGTCCCCCATGCCCCCTCAATGTCCCCTGTGTCCCCTCAGTGTCCCCCATGTCCCTGCTGTCCCCCTCATGTCCCCCGTGTCCCCTCAGTGTCCCCGCTGTCCCCTCAGTGTCCCCCATGTCCCCTCAGTCCCCCCCATGTCCTCCATGTCCCCCCCGTGTCCCTGCTGTCCCCTCAGTGTCCCCCATGTTCCCTCAGTCCCCTCAGTGTCCCCCATGTTCCCTCAGTCCCCTCAGTCCCCACCATGTCCCCTGTGTCCCCTCAGTGTCCCTGCTGTCCCCTCAGTGTCCCCGCTGTCCCCTCAGTGTCCCCTGTGTCCCCTCAGTGTCCCCGCTGTCCCCTCAGTCCCTCAGTGTCCCCCAGGACCCCTCAGTGTCCCCTCAGTGTCCCCCGTGTCCCCTCAGCCCGCGCTGCCACCATGAGCTCCGAGACTTTGGTCAAGGACGTCAAACCCGGCCTCAAGAACCTCAACCTGATCTTCATCGTGCTGGAGACGGGTGAGTGCCACCCCCGGTGTCCCCTGCTGTCCCCCGTGACCCCCGTGACCCCTGTGACCCCTGCCGTGACCCCCGTGACCCCTCCAGGCCGGGTCACCAAGACCAAGGACGGCCACGAGGTCCGGACGTGCAAAGTGGCCGACAAGAGCGGCAGCATCAACATCTCGGTGTGGGACGATGTGGGCAACCTGATCCAGCCTGGGGACATCATCCGCCTCACCAAGGGGTACAGGGGACACCTGGGGACACTGGGGACACCTGGGGACACTTGGGGACACTGGGCGAGGGGATTTGGGGGAAAATTGGGGTGGATTTGGGAAAAATCTGGGGCGATGTGGGCAATCTCGTCCAGCCTGGGGACATCATCCGCCTCACCAAGGGGTACAGGGGACACCTGGGGACACTGGGGACACTGGGGACACTGGGGAGGGGATTTGGGGGAAAATTGGGGAGAATTTGGGGGAAAATTGGGGTGGATTTGGGAAAAATCTGGGGCGATGTGGGCAACCTGATCCAGCCTGGGGACATCATCCGCCTCACCAAGGGGTACAGGGGACACCAGGGGACACCTGGGGACACCTGGGGAGGGGATTTGGGGGAAAATTGGGGAGAATTTGGGGGAAAATTGGGGGTATTTGGGGTGATGTGGGGAGCCTGATCCAGCCTGGGGACGTCATCTGCCTCACCAAGGGGTACAGGGGACACCTGGGGACACTGGGGACACTGGGGAGGGGATTTGGGGGAAAATTGGGGGAAAATTGGGGGTATTTGGGGCGATGTGGGCAACCTGATCCAGCCTGGGGACATCATCCGCCTCACCAAGGGGTACAGGGGACACCTGGGGACACCTGGGGACACCTGGGGACACTGGGGACACCTGGGGACACTGGGGAGGAGATTTGGGGGAAAAATAGGGACAATCTGGGGGAAAATTGGGGGTGTTTGGGGCAATGTGGGCAACCTGATCCAGCCTGGGGACATCATCCGCCTCACCAAGGGGTACAGGGGACACCTGGGGACACCTGGGGACACTGGGGACACCTGGGGACACCTGGGGACACTGGGGAGGGGATTTGGGGGAAAATTGGGGAGAATTTGGGGTAAAATTGGGGGTATTTGGGGCGATGTGGGGAGCCTGATCCAGCCTGGGGACATCATCCGCCTCACCAAGGGGTACAGGGGACACTGGGGACACCTGGGGACACCTGGGGACACCGGGGGACACTGGGGAGGGGATTTGGGGGAAAATTGGGGGAAAATCGGGGAGAATTTGGGGCAATGTGGGGAGCCTGATCCAGCCTGGGGACATCGTCTGCCTCACCAAGGGGTACAGGGGACACCTGGGGACACCTGGGGACACTGGGGAGGGGATTTGGGGGAAAATTGGGAGAGATTTGGGATGGATTTGGGAAAAATTTGGGGCGATTTGGGGGAAATTAGGGAGAATTTGGGGGAAATTTAAGGGAAAATTTGGGGGAAATTCAGCAGGGATTTGGGGGAAATTTGGGGATGGATTTGGGGGAAAATTGGGGGAGATTTGGGAAAAATTTATGGGGATTTGGGGCAAATTTGGGGGTAGATTTGAGGGAAATGAGGGAGAATTTGGGAGAAACTTAGCAGGGATTCGGGGGAAAATTGGGGTGGATTTGGGAAAAATTTGTGGGGATTTGGGGCAAATTTGGGGGTGGATTTGGTGGAAATTTGGGGCAATTTGGGGGGAAATTTAAGGGAAAATTTGGGGGAAATTCAGCGGGGATTTGGGGGAAATTTGGGGATGGATTTGGGGGAAATTTGGGGGGAAATTGGGGGATATTTGGGGTGGGTTGCCTGACCTTCCCCATCCTCCTCATCCTCAGCTACGCCTCCGTCTTCAAGGGCTGCCTGACGCTCTACACCGGCCGAGGGGGGGACCTGCAGAAGATTGGGGAGTAAGGAGGGGTTTTTGGGGTGGTTTTGGGGTTTTTGGGGTGGTTTTGAGGTTTTTGGGGGGGTTCTGGGGTCGAGGGCACCTCAAATCCCCAAATTGCCCCAAATCCCCACAAATTTACCCAAATTTCCACCAAATTCCCACAAATTCACCCAAATTGCCCCACCAAATCCCCCCTAAGTTTCTCCCAAATTCTTCCTGATTTCCCCCAAATTACCCCCAATTTTTCTCAAATCTGCCCCAAATCTCTCCCAGTTTTCCCCAAAATCCACCCCCAAATTTCCCCAAAATCCCCACCAACTTTCCCCCAAATCCTCCCAAATTTACCCCAAATTTCCCTCAAACCCCCTTAAATTTCCCCCAAATTCTCCCTAATTTCCCCCAAACCCACCCCCAAATTTCCCCCAAATCCTCACAAATTCACCCCAAATCTCCCTTAAATTTCCCCCAATTCTCTCCCAAATCTGCCCCAAATCTCCCGCAAATTTGCCCCAAATCCGCACAAATTTTTCCCAAATCCACCCCAAATTTCCCCCAAATCCCCACCAAGTTTCCCCCAAATTGCCCGAAATTTCCCCCAAACCCCCCAAATTTCCCCCAAATCTCCTTAAATTTCCCCGAAATCCCCGCAAAGTTTCCCCCAAATTCTCCCGAATTTCACCCAAATCCACACTCAAATTTCCCCCAAATCCCCACAAATTCACCCCAAATCTCCCTTAAATTTCCCCCAATTCTGTCCCAAATCTGACCCAGATTTCCCCCAAATCCCCACAAATTTTTCCCCCAAATTGCCCGAAATTTCCCCCAAACCCCCCAAATTTCCCCCAAATCTCCTTAAATTTCCCCGAAATCCCCGCAAAGTTTCCCCCAAATTCTCCCTAATTTCACCCAAATCCACCCCCAAATTTCCCCCAAATCCCCACAAATTCACCCCAAATCTCCCTTAAATTTCCCCCAATTCTCTCCCAAATCTACCCCAAATTTGCCCCCAATCTCCCTTAAATTTCTCCCAAATCCCCACCAAGTTTCCCCCAAATTGGCCCAAATTTCCCCCAAACCCCCCAAATTTCCCCCAAATCTCCTTAAATTTCCCCCAAATCCACTCCAAATTTCCCCCAAATCCCCACCAACTTTCCCCCAAACTCTCCCTAATTTCACCCAAACCCACCCCCAAATTTCCCCCAAATCCTCACAAATTCACTTCAAATCTCCCTTAAATTTCCCCCAATTCTCTCCCAAATCCACCCCAGATTTCCCCCAAATTCCCACCAAGTTTCCCCCAAATTGCCCCAAATTTCATCCAAACCCCTCAAATTTCCCCCAAATCTCCCTTAAATTTCCCCCAAACCCCCACCAAATTTCCCCCAAATTCTCCCTAATTTCACCCAAATCCACACTCAAATTTCCCCCAAATCCCCACCAAGTTTCCCCCAAATCTCCCTTAAATTTCCCCCAGTTTCCCCCGAATGTGCCCCAAACCCCCCAGATTTGCCCCAAACCCCCAAATCCCCGCAGGTTCTGCATGGTTTACTCCGAGGTGCCCAACTTCAGCGAGCCCAACCCCGAGTACGTGGCACAGCAGGCGCAGGGCAAGGGGGTGAGTTTGGGGGACAGGGGGGGATCACCCCAATTTCCCCTCATTTTGACCCAAATCCCCACGAATTTACCCCAAATCCCCACGAATTTACCCCAAATCCCCGCGAATTTACCCCAAATCCCCGCGAATTTACCCCAAATTCCACAAAATTTACCCCAGATCCCCCCCACAAATTTCCCCCAAATCCCCACAAATTTACCCCAAATCCCACAAAATTTCCCCCAAATCCCCACAAATTTACCCCAAATCCCTACAAATTTACCCCAAATCCCCACGAATTTACCCCAAATCCCCGCAAATTTACCCCAAATTCCACAAAATTTACCCCAAATCCCCACGAATTTACCCCAAATCCCCACGAATTTACCCCAAATCCCCGCGAATTTACCCCAAATCCCCGCTAATTTACCCCAAATTCCACCAAATTTACCCAAAATCCCCACGAATTTACCCCAAATCCCCGCGAATTTACCCCAAATCCCCGCGAATTTACCCCAAATCCCACAAAATTTACCCCAGATCCCCCCCACGAATTTACCCCAAATCCCCACGAATTTACCCCAAATCCCCGCGAATTTACCCCAAATTCCACAAAATTTACCCCAAATCCCCACGAATTTACCCCAAATCCCCACGAATTTACCCCAAATCCCCACGAATTTACCCCAAATTCCACAAAATTTACCCCAGATCCCCCCCACAAATTTACCCCAAATCCCCACAAATTTACCCCAAATCCCCACGAATTTACCCCAAATCCCCACGAATTTACCCCAAATTCCACAAAATTTACCCCAGATCCCCCCCACGAATTTACCCCAAATCTCCCTTAAATTTCCCCCAAATCCCCACCAAGTTTCCCCCAAATCCTCTGCAATTTCCCCCAAATCCACCCCCAAATTTCCCCCAAATCCACCCCCAAATTTCCCCAAAATCCCCACAAATTTGCCTCAAATCCTCCCCAAATTTCTCCCAAATCTTCCCAAAATTCCCCCCAATTCTCCCCCACATCACCCTGAGTTTCCCCCAAATTTCCCTTGAATTTCCCTCAGATTTCCCCCATATCCTCCCCCAAATTTCCCCCAATTCCCCTTAAATTTCCCCAAATCCCCCCCCAAAATTTCCCCCAAATTTTCCTTGAATTTCCCTCAAATTTCTCCTGTATCCTCCCCCAAATTTCCCCAAATCCCACCCAAAATTTCCCCCAAATTTTCCTTGAATTTCCCTCAAATTTCTCCCGTATCCTCCCCAAATTTCCCCAAATCCCACCCAAAATATCCCACAAATCCCTGCAAATTTTTACAAACGCCCCAAAAATCCCCCCAAATTTTCCCCAAATCCCCCAATTTCCCCGAATTTCCCAAAAAATCCCCAATTTCCCTCGGATTCCCCCCAAACCCCCCCTTTGTGACACTCGGGCTTCTCCATCCCCTCCCCAGGCCCCGCCCGACGGCTCCGCCCCGGCAGCTCCGCAGCCCCCGCCGGGCCCCCCCGCCGCCCCCCCAGGTTGGTACCCGCCCCCGGTAACCCCCCGGTAACCCCCGGTACCTCCCGGTTCCCCCCCCTCACCTCCCGGTACCCCCCGGTACCCCCCATATGCCCCCGGTACCTCCCGGTACCCCCCCATCACCTCCCAATACCCCTGGTATCCCCCGTACCCCTCCCAGTACCCCCCCGGTACCCCCCGGGACCTCCCCCTCACCTTCCGGTACCCCCCCGTTACCCCCCAGTACCCCCCCCTCACCTCCCAGTACTCCCCGTACCCCTCTCGGTACCCCCCCGGTATCCCCCGGTGCCCCCCATATGCCCCCGGTACCTCCCGGTACCCCCCCCTCACCTCCCGGTACCCCCCCGTACCCCTCTCGGTAGCCCCCCGGTACCCCCTGGTACAACTCCCCCCCTCCCCCGACCTCCCGGTATCCCCGGGTACCCCCCCGGTGTCCCCCGGTACCCCCCCCCTCACCTCCCATTACCCCCCGGTACCCCCCGTACCCCTCTCGGTACCCCCCCCGGTATCTCCCCCCCCCTCCTCACCTCCCGGTTCCCCGCAGCCCCCGAGAGCCAGAACGGGAACGGGCTGAGCCCGGGGGGCCCCCCCGCGCACCCCCCGAGCGGCCGCATCACCCGCAGCCAGCCCGGCCCCGTCAGCAACGGCAAAGAGACCCGGAGGAGCGGCAAGAGATAACGGGGACCCCCCCGGGACCCCCCCGGGACCCCCCCGGGACCCCCCCGGGACATCCCCGGGACATCCCCGGCGCCGCCACAACCGGGGGGGGGTCCCCGGTTCCCCAAGGCCGTAACGGGGGGGGCGGGCCCGGTGTCCTGCACCCCCCACCGGATCCCCCCGGGACCCCCCCGGGACCTCACCGGGACCTCACCGGGGCATCCCCGGCACCGCCACAACCGGGGGGGTCCCCGGTTTCCCCAATCCCGAAGTTCCCGGTGTCGCTCCGGTGCTCGGGGGGCTCCATCCGGTGCCCCCCCGGTGCCCCATGTCGGGAATCGGGAGGCGTTAATAAAGAACCGAGCTCTGCCCCCGCCTCAGCGGCTCTGCCCGGACCCCTCCGGGACATCCCCGGTACCGCCACAACCGGGCCATCCCCGGTTCCCCAAGCCCGTAATGGGGACAGGGTTCCCGGTGTACCCGGGGCTGGTCCGGACCCCCCCCCGCTCCGGTGCTCGGGGGTCCCGGGGGGCTCCATCCGGTGCCCGCCCCGTATCGGGATGCGTTAATAAAGAACCGAGCTCTGCCCCCGCCTCAGCGGCTCTGCCCGGACCCCTCCCCGCGGCCCCTCCCGGTACCGGGGCCGGCTGGGAGCAGCTCCGCGCTGACCCTTGGCCCCCCCGGCTCGGGCGCGACGGGCGCGGGACGGGCTCGGGGACAGCGCGGGGACACCGGGGGCTCAGGTGGGACCGGGAGGGGTCCCGCGGGTGGGGGGGGGGGCGTAGCCAAACGGGGCTGGGGGGGCTCCGGTGAGGGCGGGGACCCCCGTGAGGTGCGGGGAGCGATGGGGGGGGGGGGACGGGGACACCGGCGGGGCGGAGGCTCCGGGGATTTCCCGGTGTCGCACGTGGAGGGGGGGGGGGGGGGGGCGGCCACTCCGGTTCCCCGCCGGTGCTGGGGTGGGTGGGGGGGTCCCGAGGGTTTCATTTTTTATATTTTTTTATATTTTTTTAATATTTTTTATATTTTTTATCTCCGTCCCGGTGAAACATTAACTCCCCCTAAACCCCGCGCCCGTTGCAAAACCTCGCCTCGAGGACGAGGGTCACCCGCTCTGTGTCCCCCCCTCCGCCCCTTTGTGGTCTCTGTGACCCCCAAATCCCACCCCAAACCCCTCCGGGTGGGGCGCAACAACCGCGAACCCCCCAAATCCCAAATCCCCCCAAAATCCTCCCCAAATTCCCCTTCTCGCGGTGTCCCTGGTGCCGCCGCACGTGTCCCGGTGCCGCCGCCTGTCGCTTTCCCCACGCTCGGGCCACATCGCAGGGACCCCCCCCGCGCTGGGGTGACGCCAAAATCGCTCTGTCCCCCCCTCATTGTGCTCCCTGTGACCCCCAAATTCCACCCCAAAACCCCGCCGGGGGGGGCGCAACAACCGCGTACCCCCAAATCAACCCCAAATCGCCCCCAAATCCCACCCCAAATTCCACCCCAAACCCTCCCGAGGGGGGCGCAACAACCGCGTTCCCCCAAATCCCAAATCCCCCCCCACATTCCACCCCAAATCCCCCCCAAATTCCACCCCAAATCCCCCCCAAATTCCACCCCAAACCCTCCCGAGGGGGGCGCAACAACCGCGTACCCCCCAATCAACCCCAAATCCCCCCAAATCGCCCCCAAATCTTCCCCAAATCCCCCCCAAATTCCACCCCAAACCCTCCCCGAGGGGGGCACAACAACCGCGTACCCCCAAATCCCAAATCCCCCCCAAATTCCACCCCAAATCTTCCCCAAATCCCCCCCAAATTCCACCCCAAAACCCCTCCGGGTGGGGCGCAACAACCGCGTTCCCCCAAATCCCAAATCCCCCCCAAATTCCACCCCAAATCCCCCCCAAATTCCACCCCAAACCCCCCCCGAGGGGGGCGCAACAACCGCGTACCCCCAAATCCCCCCAAATCCCCCCAAATTCCCCTGCTCGCGGTGTCCCCGGTGCCACCGCACGTGTCCCTGAGGTGACCCTGCCGCCTCCTGTCGCTTTCCCCACGCTCGGGCCGCATCGGACAGACCCCCCCGCTTTGCGGTGACCCCAAAATCGCTCTGTCCCCCCCTCCTTGTGCTCCCTGTGACCCCCAAATTCCACCCCAAACCCCGCCGGGGGGGGCGCAACAACCGCGTACCCCCCAATGAACCCCAAATCCCCCCAAATCCTCCCCAAATCCCCTCCAAATCCCCCCCAAATCTTCCCCAAATTCCACCCCAAACCCCTCCGGGTGGGGCGCAACAACCGCGTACCCCCCAAATCCCAAATCCCCCCCAAATCCCCCCAAATTCCCCTCCTCGCGGTGTCCCCGGTGCCACCGCACGTGTCCCCGAGGTGACCCTGCCGCCTCCTGTCGCTTTCCCCACGCTCGGGCCGCATCTCAGAGGAGCCCCCGCTTTGCGGTGACCCCAAAATCGCTCTGTCCCCCCCGCTTTTCCCCAGCTCCAGCCGCGGGATCCGACCCCATGAGCCGCCCTGGGCTCCTCCTGGCCCCGGCGCTGGCGCTGCTGGTTCTGGGGGCCGGGGGGGCTCCGAGCACCGCGGGGACCCCGGGGCGGCTCCCGGAGGACGCGGAGCAGGAGCACGGCTACTACCTCCGGCAGCTGTTCGGGGCGTACGGCGAGAACGGAACGCTGCCCTCCGAGGGGCTGGCACGGCTGCTGGGCAGCCTCGGGCTGGGCAGGGTGCAGGTGGTGCAGATCCAGCATGAGGAGCTCGGCCACGGCCACGTCAGCCACCTGGACCTGCTGGAGGTGCAGCAGGACAAGCACCGGCACCGGCACCCGCTGTGGGAGCACGGTGGGGAAGCGGCTCCGAGCACCGGCGGAACCTTCAGGTACCGGTGGGACCCCTCAGGTACCGGGGGGACCCCTTCAGGTACCGGGGGAACCCCTCAGGTAGCAGTGGGACCCCTCAGGTAGCGGGGGGACCCCTTCAGGTACTGGTGGGACCCCTCAGGTACAGGTGGGACCCGTCAGGTACCGGGGGAACCCCTCAGGTACCAGTGGGACCCATCCGATACCGGGGGGACCCCTCAGATACCGGGAGAACCCCTCAGGTACCGGGGGAACCCCTCAGGTACCAGTGGGACCCTTCAGGTACCGGGGGAACCCCTCAGGTACCAGTGGGACCCCTCAGGTACCGGGGGAACGCTTCAGGTACTGGTGGGACCCCTCAGGTACCGGGGGGACCGCTCAGGTACTACTGGGACCCCTCAGGTTCTGGGGGAACCCCTCAGGTACCCGGTGGGACCCTTCAGGTACCGGTGGGACCCCTCAGGTACTGCTGAGACCTCCTCAGGTACCACTGGGACCCCTCAGGTTCTGGGGGGACCCTTCAGGTACTGCTGGGACCCTTCAGGTACCCGGGGGGACCCCTCAGATACCGGTGGGACCCCTCAGGTTCCGGTGGGACCCTTCAGGTACCGGTGGGACCCCTCAGGTACTGGTGGGACCCCTCAGGTTCTGGGGGAACCCCTCAGGTACCGGGGGACCCGTCAGATACCGGGGGGACCCCTCAGGTACCGGGGGGTTCCATCCCCGAGGGGCTGCGCTGGGCAAGGCGGGGGCGGCTCAGCGCAGGAACGGGGACGGGAACGGGGACAGGAATGGGAACGGGAACGGGAACGGGAACGGGAACGGGGGATGGGGAGGGGAACGGGAACGGGAATGGGAACGGGGAGGAGAATGGGGAACGGGGACGGAGATGGGGAGGAGGATGGGGACAGGGAGGGGAACGGGAACGGGGGACGGGGAGGGGAACGAGGACGGGAACGAGAACGGGGAACGGGAACGGGGACGGGGACGGGAACGGGAACTGGGACGGAAATGGGGACGGGAACGGGGACGACGAAAGGTAACAGGAACGGGGACGGGAACGGGAACGGGGACGGGAATGGGGACGGGGATGGAAACGAGAACGGGGACGGGGACGGGGACGGGACCAGAGATGTCGATCCGTTGACCTCAGCACCCCCATTTCCCGCAGCCCCCCGCCCTCCCAGCCGCCGAGCGGGCCCCAGGCGGTGCCCACCGAGCCCCCCGGTGCCGCGGGGGTCCCCCGGGAGTACCGACCCAGCCTGAGCCTGCTGGGGAGGGTGCTGGGCTTGGAGCACTCCAGCGCCGACCACCCGCACGATGATGTGAGAGGGGACGGGGGGGTCGCGCTGTGCCGCGTCCCGGGGTCTGGGGGACCCCCCCAGCTCAGCTGGAGCCCCCCGCCCGCAGTGCCTGAACGTGACGCAGCTGCTGGGGAATTTCGGGCTGGATTCGGTGGCGCAGCTGACACCGGAGCAGTTCACGCTGCTCTGCCCGGCGCTGCTCTACCAGATCGACAGCCGCGTCTGCATCCGGCACCGCGATGAGGTGACGCTGCCTCCCCCGGGGGGGGCCCTGTGGCCAGGTAACCCCAGCCCGGGGCTCCGAGACGGGCCCCGGCCCCGCCTCACTCGTCCCTGGGGTCCCCCGTCCCCGTTATGAGGTGGGGGAGTCCATCCCTGCACCCCCAAGGCGCCCCCATCCCTGTGTCCCCCCTGGCCCCCCATTCCTGATCCTGGGGTCTCCATTCCTGGGGTTCTTGTCCCTAAATCCCTGCGGTCCCTAACCCTGGGGTCCCTATTACCACATTCCTGGACCCCAAATCCCTGGGGTCTCCGTCCCTGGGACCCCCATTCTCCCATCCCTGAGTTCCCCATCCCAGGGTCCTCATTCCCACATCCCTGGGGTCCCCATTCCTGGGGTCCCCATTCCCTCATTCCTGGGGTCTCTGTCCCTAAATCCCTGGGGTCTCCATCTTTGGGGTTCCCATCCCTGGGACCCGCCATTCCCTCACCCTTGGATTCCCATCCCTGGGGTCTCTGTCCCTAAATCCCTGGGACCTTCATCCCTGGGACCCCCATTCCCCCATCCCGGGGTCTCCCATCCCCACATCCCCGGGTTCCCCACCCCTGGATCCCCATCCCCACGTCCCCAAGCGCCCTCCGGGTGCCCGGTTCGGGCCGTGCCCCTGACGGTGCCCGCAGCTCTGGGCTGGGCGCTGCTGGCCGTGCTCTCGGTGAGCCTCCCGTCCGTCCTGGCCGTGCTGCTGCTCCCGCTGCGCGCCCGCGGCTCCTTCCGCTCCGTCCTGGCCTTCCTGGTGGCGCTGGCCGTGGGGACGCTCTGCGGGGACGCGCTGCTGCACCTCTGGCCGCACGTAGGTCCCGCCCCGGGGGTGGCACCGGGGGCCCAACCCTGACCCTGTCCCAAACCCCAACCCTGACCCCAACCCTGACCCCAACCCTGTCCCAAACCCCAACCCTGACCCTAACCCTGACCCCAACCCTGACCCTAACCCTAACCCGAACCTCTTCCCCCTGTCCTTGTGCACCTCTCCTCCCACCCTACCCATCTCTATCCCAATCCCCGTTCCCCGTTCCCGTCCCTGTCCCCCATCCCCGTTCCCATCCCCATCCCGTTCCCGTTCCCTTTTCCGTTCCCGTTCCCGTTCTCATCCCCATCCCCATTCCCATCCCCATCCCCATCCTGTTCCCGCTCCCGTTCCCGCTCCCTCTCCCGCTCCCGTTCCCGCTCCCTCTCCCGCTCCTGTTCCCGCTCCCGTTCCCGTTCCCATCCCCATCTCTGTTCCCGTTCCTGCTCCCGTTCCCCTCCCCGTTCCCGTGCCCATCCCCATCCCCGTTCCCCTTCTCCTTCCCATCCCCGCTCCCGCCCCCCGCTCCCGCTCCTGTTCCCATCCCCGTTCCCGTTCCCATCCCCGCTCCCGCTCCTGCCCCCGCTCCCGCTCCCGTTTTCCCGTCCCCGTTCCCATCCCCGTTCCCGCTCCCGTTTTCCCGTTCCCATCCCCGTTCCCCGCCCGGTGTCCAGGCGCAGGGGAGGCACCCGGAGGCTCCGGGGGACCCGAGCCCGGCGGTGCTGCAGGGGCTGGCGGTGCTGGGGGGCATCTACGCGCTCTTCGTGCTGGAGCTGCTCCTGGCGATGCTGCGGCGCCGCCGGGAGGCCACGGTGAGAGCGGCGGGCACCGGGAGGGCACCGGGCGGGCACCGGGGCCGGCTCCGCACACAACGCCTCCGTTTTCCCCAGGGACGCCCCCATGGAGAGACCCCCGACCTGGCACCGTCACGGGCAGGTACGACCCCCTCACACCCCTCCCCGGACCCCCGGGACCGGCCCCGGCAGCCACCGGAGCCCCGGCACGCCCCGGAACCGGCGCGTCCGTCCCGCCGCAGGGACCGAGCTGCGGCCGCTGGCGGCGCCGGAGGCGGAGCTGGAGCCGAGACCCCCGGGACTCCCCCACGGGCACTCGCACGGCCCCGCGCTGCCCCCCGGGCCCGGCGCCGCCGACATCGTGTGGATGGTGGTGCTGGGGGACGGCGTGCACAACCTGAGCGACGGGCTGGCCATCGGTGCGAGCGGGAACGGCAGCGGAACGGGAAACGGGGCACGGGGACGGGGACGGGGACGGGGACGGGAAACGGGGGATGGGGATGGGAACGGGAACGGAACGGGAAACGGGGAACGGGGACGGGAACGGGGACGGGAAACGGGGGACGGGGATGGGAACGGGAGCGGAACGGGAAACGGGGAACGGGGACGGGAACGGGGACGGGGACGGGAAACGGGGCACGGGGACGGGAACGGGAGCGGAACGGGAAACGGGGAACGGGGACGGGAACGGGGACGGGGAGGGAAACGGGGACGGGAACGGGGACGGGAACGGGGACGGGAACGGGGATGGAAACGGGGATGGGAACGGGACAGGAACGGGAAACGGGGGACGGGGATGGGAACGGGGATGGGGACGGGGATGGGGATGGGAACGGGAACGGGAACGGGAGCGGGGACGGGGATGGAGATGGAGGAGAGGTGCACAAGGACAGGGGGAAAATATTTCCACAGGGACAGAAGGATGCTGGGGACAGGGGGGACAGGGCTGCATTGGGACAGGGGGACAAGGGGACAGGGGGACAAAGAGACAGGGGGACAGGGGGACAAGGGGACAGGGGACAAGGGGGCAGGGGGACAGGGGGACAAGGGGACAGGGGGAACAAGGGGACAAGGGGACAAGGGGACAGGGGGACAGGGGGACAAAGGGACGGGGGGACAAGGGGACAGGGGGACAAGGGGACAGGGGGACAAAGGGACAGGGGGACAGGGGGACAAGGGGACAGGGGGACAAAGGGACAGGGGGACAGGGAGACAAAGGGACAGGGGGACAGGGGGACAGGGGGACAAGGGGGACAGGGGGACAGGGGGACAGGGGGACAGGGCTGCATTGGGACAGGGGGACAAGGGGACAGGGGGACAAGGGGACAGGGGGACAGGGCTGCCCGGTGACCCAGGGACAGGGACAGGGGCACAGCGGACGAGGACCCCTCTCCCTCCCGCAGGAGCCGCCTTCTCCCACAGCCTCTCCAGCGGGCTCAGCACTGCCCTGGCCGTGCTCTGCCACGAGCTGCCCCACGAGCTGGGTGAGTCCCTGTGTCCCTCCCTGTCCCCTCCCCGAGCTGGGGACCCCCTTGGTGCCACCCCCGATGTCACCCCCGGTGCCACCCACAGGTGACCTGGCGGTGCTGCTGAGGGCGGGCGCGGCCCCGCGCTCCCTCCTGCTCCTCAACCTCCTCTCGGCGCTGCTCTCCTGCCTGGGCGTGGTGGCCGGGGTCGCCCTGGGCCACAGCGGGACCCCCCTCGCCCCCTGGCTCCTCACGGCCACCGCCGGCATCTTCCTCTACGTGGCCCTGGCCGACATGGTAAGGGGGGATCTGGGGGGTCTCACAGGGGGTTTGGGGGTGTCCGGGGGTCTCACAAGGGGTTTGAGGGTGTTCGGGAGGGTCTGGGGGTGTCCTGGGGTGTCACGGAGGGTTTGGGGGTGTCCAGGAGTCTCATGGGGGCTCTGGGGGTGTCCTGGGAGGGTCTGGGGGGGTTTTGAGGGTGTCCGGGGGGGTCTGAGGGGATTGGGGATGTCTGGGGGGTCTCATGGGGGGTCCGAGGGGTTTGGAGATGTCCGGGGGTGTCATGGGGGCTCTGGGGGTCTCATGGGGGGTCGGAGGGGTTTGGGGGTGTCCCGGAGATCTCACGGTGTTCTGGGGGTGTCCGGGGATCTCACGGTGTTCTGGGGGTGTCCCGGGGGTCTCACGGAGCCCCCCCTGCCCTTCCCCAGCTCCCCGAGGCTCTGCGAGGCTCCGGCGAGGGCACCTGGGGCCGTTTCGTGCTGCAGAACGCGGGGTTCCTGCTGGGCGCTGGCATCATGCTGGGCATCGCCCTGGCCGAGGGGCACCTGCGCTCCTGGCTGCAGCCCTGAGGCACCCCCGGCACCCTCCCCAGGCTCGGATTTTCCCCTCTTCCTCAAGAAGCCCCCGGGGGGATCCGCGGTGCCGGAGGAGCCTCGGGGAGGGGACTCGGGGTCCCCCGGGGGTCACGGGCGGCTCCGGGGCTGGGTCCGAACCCCCTGAATTCGAAACCCCCCCGGGAGGAGCTGAACCCAAACCCTCCTGAACCTGAAATCCCCTGGGAGGAGCTGAATCCGAACCCTCCTGAATCCAAAACCCCCGAGGAGCTGAATCCAAACCCTCCTGAATCCAAACCGCCCCTGAGGAGCCAAATCCGACCCCCCCTGAATCCGAACCCTCCTGAATCCGAACCCCCCTGAATCCAAAACCTCCGAGGAGCTGAATCTGAATTCCCTCGGGAGGAGCCGAATCCAAACCCTCCTGAACCCAAAACCCCCGAGGAGCTGAATCCGAACCCTCCTGAACCCGAACCCTCCTGAATCCAAAACCTCCAAGGAGCTGAATCCGAACCCTCCTGAATCCAAAACGCCCGAGGAGCTGAACCCGAACCCTCCTGAATCCAAAACGCCCGAGGAGCTGAATCCGAATTCCCTCAGGAGGAGCTGAATCCGAACCCTCCTGAACCCAAACCCCCCCTGAGGAGCCAAAACCGAACCCCCCTGAATCCAAACCCTCCTGAATCCAAAACCTCCGAGGAGCTGAATCTGAATTCCCTCGGGAGGAGCCGAATCCAAACCCTCCTGAACCCGAAATTCCCCGGAGGAGCCAAATCCAAAACCCCCTGGATTCTCGAGGAGCTGAATCCGGACCCTCCTGAACCCGAACCCTCCTGAACCCGAAATCCCCCGGAGGAGCCGAATCCAAACCCCCCTGAATCCAAACCCTCCTGAATTCCAGAGGAGCTGAATCCGAACCCTCCTGAATCCGAACCCTCCCGCATTCCGGAGGAGCCGAATCCAAACCCTCCTGAACCCAAAACCCCCCTGAGGAGCTGAACCCGAACCCAAAATCCCCCTGGAGGAGCCAAATCTGAACCTTCCTGAACCCAAAATCCCTCGGGAGGAGCCGAATCCGGACCCTCCCGAACCCGACCCCACCCCGGGAGGAGCTGAGGAAGGGGAAGGACCCCGAGCACGAGAGGCTGAATAAACAGAATTGAGCCAGAGCTGCAATAAAACCAGGATTTGGTCACAGTTACAGGGTAGAAATAGATAAATTCTGAATGGTTTTGACTTTGTTTTGTTTTGGGGTTTTTTTTTCCCCAGGATTTTGGGACCATTCAGGATTCTGGGATCCCCCCAGGGGGTTCTGGGACCCCTCAAGGTTTTGGGACCCCCCAAGATTTTGGGACCCCTCAAGGTCTTGGGACCCCCTCAAAATTCTGGGACTCCCCAATGTTTTGGGACCCCTCACAATTCTGGGACCCCTCAGGGAGGTCTGGGACCCCTCAAAGTTCTGGGACCCTTCAAGATTCTGGGACCCCTCAAGATTTTGGGACCCCTTGGGGGGGTCTGAGACCCCTCAAGGTTTTGGGATCCCTCAAAGTTCTGGGACCCCTCAAGGATCTGGGACCCCCCAAGCTTTTGGGACCCCTCAAGATTTTGGGACCCCTCAGGATTTTGGGAGCCCTCAAGGTTCTGGGACCCCTCAAGATTCTGGGACCCTCAGGGCAATCTGGGACCCCTCAAAATTCTCAAGGGACCTCTCAAGGGTCCCAGGTGTTAAAGGGGTTTTGGGACCCCTGAAGTCTCTGGGATCCCTCAAGATTTTGGGACCCTTCCAGATTATGGGACCCCCCCGAGATTTTGGGACCTCTCAAGGTTTTGGGACCCCCCGAGATTTTGGGACCCCTCAAAGTTCTGAGACCCTCGGGGGGTCCAGGACTCTCCATCCTCTCCTCCTTTGTCCATCCCTGACCCATTCCCGAGGCTCATCCTGGGGCAAAACCCCCAAAATTCCCCAAACCCAACCCAGAGTTCCAAAACCCAGCAGATTTTGTGCAAACCACGAAGAATTTGGGCTCAGAAAAGGCAAAAAAAGGAGCGGGAGGAAGAACCAGACTCTGCAAAGCTCCAGAGGAACTCGGGAGGAGCAGCAAGAACCCCCCAAAATCCCCAAAATCCCCAAAATCACCACAACCAAAACTTTCCATGCGAAGTTTCCTTTATTTATTTTCAAGTTGACAGAGAACAATATCGATAACGACTGGGTCGAGAGTAAGGCTATTTTCCTTTTTTTTTTTTTTTTTAATGATTTTTTTTTTGTTATTTTTTTTGTTGTTTTTTTTTTTTTAAACCCCCTCCCCCCCCCATCTTTTTGTCCCCCCTGCACGAGAAGAGGAGGAGGAGGAGGAGGAGGAGGAGGAGGAGGAGGAGGAGGCCCGGACGAGACACGGACCAGCACAAGGAGGAGTTGGCTGTACCTGACAGGTGATGATGAGGTTTTTTTTTTTGTATATTTATTTTTTTTTAAATTTTTTTGTCTTTTTTTTGGTTTTTTTTTTGTTTTTTTTTGTCCTGTCGGCATCAAAGGAACATTTATGTGCATAAAATACAGAGGTGCAGCATTGACACGGAGGATATTAAAGACACAGAGTTGCTACAGATGCCTTAGAGACGTTTTCCCCCCCAGCCCCTCCAGCCTCACCCCACAATTTCAAGGATTTTAGGGCAGCTCCAGAGCTCCCCTCGATGTTTTGGGTGAACCTCGGCTTTTTTTTTTTTTAATGATTTTTAAATAAAATTTGTGATTTTTTGTTGGTTTTTTTTTACTACATCTCCTTTCACTGCCGAGCCCAGAAAATTCCAGCCAGGAGGATTGAACAGCTCCTTGTGTCCTTGGAGAAAAAGAAAGAAAAGGAAGAAAAAAAGGGGGGAAAAAGGGAAAAAAAAAAAGGACAAAAAAAATCCTGAACTGAGGAATCCACGTGTCCGTGCCAGGATGGACAGGAAGGGGTTGGGTTTTTATCCTTTGGTTTCTCACTGAAGGCAAAGGTGGGATCCCACCCCGACATTCCCACCCCACAGAACATCGGGATAAAATCAAGGAGTAATTGTAACAATAATTAAAAAAAAAAAAAAAGAAAGAGAAAAGGTTCTTTCTGGGGTCTCTGCTTGTGTAGGTTTGGGGTTTTCCTTGTTCCTCCCCGTGCTGGGAATTGGGATCTGCACGGAGCTCCCCAAAAACGGGATCAAAATTCAAAGTGATTCCACATTTTTGGAGAGATTTTTTTTTTGTGTGTGTGATTTGTTGGTTTCTTTTTGCTTGGCTTTTTAGTGCTATGTTGTTTTTTTTATGAATTTTTTTATTTTTTATTGTTTTGATCTGCCGGATTCCAGCCCCGGGATGTGGCCGGGGGTGTGGGGAGGGGCTGGGGCTGCTCCTGTGGGAATGGGGAGGGAATGGGAAAAGTGGGAGAGGAAAAGGGAGGGGAAAGGGAGGGGAAAGGGAGGGGAAAGGAGGGAAAAAGGGAGGGAAAAGGGAGGGAAAAAGGGAGGGGAAAGGGAGGGGAAAGGGAGGGAGAGGGAGGGAAAAGGGAGGAAGAGGAAGGGAAAGGAGAAGGGAGGAGAGAGGGAAGGGAATGGGGAAGGGAGAGGGAGAGGAAAGAGGGGAGAGGGAGGGAAAAGGAGGAGGGAGAGAGGAGGAGGAGGAAGGAGACAGGGAGGGAATGGGAAGGGACAGGGAGGGAAGGGGGAAAAGGGATGGGAGTGAGGGGGAGAGGGATGGGCAGGGAAAAGGGGAGGGAGAGGAGGAGCAGGAAAACGGGTGGGGAAGGGATGGGAGAGGGGTGGGACAGGGACCGGACAGGGGGACAGGGACAGGAGAGGGACAGGGGGACAGGGGCAGGACAAAGGGACAGGAGAGGGACAGGGGGACAGGAGGGGGACAGGGGGACAGGAGCGGGATAGGTGGAAAGGGACATGGGGACAGGGATGGGAGTGGGACACGGGGACAGGGATGGGACACAGGGACAGGAGAGGGACAGGGGGACAGGGATGGGACACGGGGACGCTTCTTTACCAACCCGAAATTCCCATGGCCGTGCAGTGGCCCCAGGGCTGTCCCTGGGCTATCCTGGGATATCCCAAACTGTCCCCAAACTGTCCCCAGCCTGTCCCTGTCTATCCTGGGATATCCCAAACTGTCCCCAAACTGTCCCCAGCCTGTCCCTGTCTATCCTGGGATATCCCAAACTGTCCCCAGGCTGTCCCTGTCTATCCCAGGCCATCCTGGGCTGTCCCCAGGCTATCCCAGGTCACCCCAGTCTATCCCAGTCTATCCCTGGGCTCTCCCGTTCTGTCCTGGTGCTGTCCCCGCTGTCCTTGGGCTATCCCAGGCTATCCCAGACTGTCCCCTCTCTGTCCCCCTGTCTGTCCCCTCTGTCCCCTGTCTGTCCCCTCTCTGTCCCCATGCTGTCCCCTCTCTGTCCCCCTGTCTGTCCCCTCTCTATCCCCTCTCTGTCCCCTCTCTGTCCCCTGTCTGTCCCCTCCCTGTCCCCCTGTCTGTCCCCTGTCTGTCCCCTGTCTGTCCCCCTGTCTGTCCCCTGTCTGTCCCCTGTCTGTCCCCCTGTCTGTCCCCTCTCTGTCCCCATGCTGTCCCCTCTCTGTCCCCCTGTCTGTCCCCTCTCTATCCCCTCTCTGTCCCCTCTCTGTCCCCTGTCTGTCCCCTCCCTGTCCCCCTGTCTGTCCCCTGTCTGTCCCCTGTCTGTCCCCCTGTCTGTCCCCTCTCTGTCCCCTGTCTGTCCCCTGTCTGTCCCCCTCTCTGTCCCCTCTCTGTCCCCCTGTCTGTCCCCTCCCTGTCCCCCTGTCTGTCCCCTGTCTGTCCCCTCTCTGTCCCCCTGTCTGTCCCCTGTCTGTCCCCTCTCTGTCCCCATGCTGTCCCCCTGTCTGTCCCCTCTCTGTCCCCCTGTCTGTCCCGGTACATTCAGTGTTTGTCGCAGGGTCTATGGCTCAGGGGGCGGCGCCCCTCGCTCGGGCAATGGCAGTGCAAAAACACCCGGGGGACTCTGAAA